TATATATATATATATCATGAAAATCACAGCATATTCCGCGTTAGTTAGCTTTCTGTAAATTAAACTGTAATTTAAAATTTGAAATTTTCATTAATAATTGCATTTCTGAGCCTTAATCCAATATATATATATATATATATATATATATATATATATATATATATATATATATATAATTGGTATAATATATAATGAAAATATGTAGAATTTGATTATTCCGGTTTGATTGATTTATGTGATAAATTTTTTGTCTGTAATTGGATAATCTGAGACTTAAGCTTTTGTTTAATAACATTCAATATTTTAAAAATAAATTGCAGAAAACCAGCTCTTACGCTTATCCAACTAGATTTCAAAAGCAGAAAGAAGAATGCTGGATATTGCTTTTGGGAGACGTTGAAAATAACAGTGTATTAGCTTTAAAAAGAGTAGGCTTTGTGCAACTTGAAAAATCAATTCAAGTTTCTTTTGTGAGCCCTAAAAAATCAGGACGTCACATATACACATTATATATAATGAGTGATTGTTACGTAGAACTGGACCAACAATATGATATATTTTTTCATGTTTTATAATGATATCCTTATTTAATTTATCTGTTACATTATTTATTATCAAGTTGCATTGTTGAAAAAACTTAAACAATACAAAATCTGTGTTTGATCACTTCTTTTCATTTGTTATTTTATATTTTATTTTATCAATCACTTTTGTTGATTAAAAAGAAATATCGATTATTTGTCTAGTTTAATGTCAATAGCAGCCAAGGTTTACAACCGAGTTCTCCTTAATACAAGTTCAAATCTCCAACAAATTTTCATTCTTTTCAAAATATACTTGAAAGGTTATATACTCTTTAATATATTCTTTTCAAATCTCCAACAAATTTTCATTCTTTTCAAAATATACTTCCCAACATTACCTTTATCGACTTTTAAAAGGCATACGATTCATTCTACAGAGAAATGATTCGCAATCCCACGACACTACGGCATTCCATCAGAAATCGTTGCTGCAATTCGAATACTCTACGATTCGTCAACTAGCAAAGTACACCTATCCCCCGATTTACACGGCTTTTGTTTTACACGTTTTCGCATTTTACACGGTTTTCCAAATAAGTTTTTTTTGTTTTTATCGCCCTCTACTAAATGCTACTGTGATTGAACACGTGCTTGCTTGGCTCAATATGAAGAATTTTAAAGATCTTACAAAAAATTTGAAGCAATTGTTAATAACCGATTTTATTACCATCTCTCATAATGTAAATATTTCTGCTTCAAACATCGAATCGGCACAAATAACTTGGAGCGATGAAAGTGAATTCTAACCTTCGATTCCGAAAAAAAGAATGAGAGTAATTTCTGATAGTGATGAATGATAATAAAACACCTTTGGTTTTATTTTTTGTTCTTCTGCTTAATGTATTGCAATTAAATAAAAAAAAAACAGTGTTTCCGTAATATATTACATACTTTAACCTGCCAATGCATTTTATTTTTATTTCTTTGTATACCTAAAAATATTGAAAAAAATCACAACTGTTAAATAGTAAAATTATGCATTTTCTGCAAGCTTTTCGATTTACACGGTTTTGACAAAAATTTTTAATTTTCGATTTACACGTTTTTCTCAGGAACGTATCTACCCTGTAAATCGGTGAATTTGAGGGCGGCGAACAATCAAACAAGTTGTACTAGCTCCATTCATCATCATCATTGTTTTACCTTTCAAAACGGACAGAAGGCGACTTGGGTTATATCACCCATTGAGCAAGCGAAACACAGGCTACATCAAACAAACAAATATTTGACATTTTTATTTCCTCAAATCAAAAAAAAAAATCAAAGAAATGAGATCAATTAAAATAAATGATTTGGAAATCGAAAAAAAAAATGGTTTTCTTGTAATGATTACCAGTGGCAATTGTAAAAATGAGAGCATATTTTAAATATTTTTATACATGTAAACTCACATTCATATTACAAATCCTAAAAAAAAACTAAAAATGGAATAAAAATTATTAAGTAATCAACTCTTTTACATTTTTACCAGAATGTCGTTTGTAATTTGTAAAACACATATATATAGACCCACGCAAAATATCCTTATTGATACTACACACATACATGTACACACACACGTACATAAACCCACACAAAAAGTTTAGGGGGTTTAAATGTTAAAAAGTAACATTTTTTAAATTTTGCCGCGGATTTTGCTTCCTTCAAATATTTAGGTAATTTGTTCCACGTCTTAGGTCCGACGTCTTTTATGCTACTATTGATAAGTTTCAATCTGTTTTTTTCAATATAAAATGTTGAGGTATGTTTTGTGTGTTTTAACTGGATTGCGTTACTATAAATAAACAGATTATTAAAATTTTTTGGAATTAAGTTATTAATAAATATAAATATTGAGATGCATGTGTAATAAATTTGTTTTATTGAAAGTAGTTTTGCAATCTGAAAATAATTAAAGGTGTGGTCATTAAATTTCAAATCGAATAAAATTCTTATAAAACGTTTTTGACATTTTAACAGTGAATATAGCAGATAAGCAGAACTATTTCCCCATATGATTCCGCAATAATGAATATAAGGATATATAAAGCTATAATACAAACTTTTTAATATTGTGGAATTAATCTTATTTTTGATTTTATAAAGTATACCTATGTATTTATCGATTTTTGATTCAAGATTTTCAATGTGGTAGGTTAAGACAAATTTTCTTGCAGAACTAAACCAAAAAAAACAACTTGATTGGTTCTATTTAATTTCACATTACTAGACACAAGGTCCAAGTCCGAGAAACTATTGGTTAAAATCTCTGGTCCAAATATAACATAGGCCGATTTGAATGAATTAACCGTGGAGAACCATTCCTCGAATAATTTGAGTTCATTTTTTATGAATCTAAATCTCGTTTAATGTCATCAGAAGAATAAAAAAATGTTTGAATGATCAGCGTAAAGAATACAATTCATTTTTTTTTATAAATAGGCAATGTCGTTTATATAAATTAAAAAAAGCAAAGGGCCTAATACAGACTCTTGCGGGACTGCACACGAAACTTCACGCGTCCCACAAAAACATATTGCTTTCTTCCAGAGATATAACTCTCAAACCATTGATTTGTAATACCACGAATCCCATAATGGTGAATCCCATAAATGGTTAAGTTTATGTAACAAAATATCGTGATCAATCAGATCAAATGCCTTTGTAAGATCGAGGAATATTCCAAGAGTAAGCTTACGTGAACTCATGTTGGTTAATATATTTTGAACCAATTCTAGAATGGCTAGTTCACATGAATGGTGGGCTCTGAATCCGTACTGTTTTTCAGTGAGAACTTTTTTTTTCATAAGAAAAGAAAATAAGCGTTTGTAAACAAGTTTTTTTAATACTTTGGATAAAGGTGATAATAAAGAAATTGTTCTGTAATTATTTAAGTTATAGGAGTCATTTTTTTCATGATAGGAACAATTTTTGAGAGTTTAAAGCTTAATGGAAAAATACCTTGTTCGAGAGAAATGTTGAAAATATGAGTAAGTGGAGATAAAATTCCGTTTTTGAAAGTTTTAATTATGAATGAGTTAAGTTCATCATCAGAAGTTGACATTTTGGGCTTAAGCGAATTTATTATTTGAATAACTTCTGACCAATTTGGTAGGTTCAAGAAAAAAAGATAATAGAACGGAATTTGTAAAAATTTTTAGTTAATTCAAGGAGTCAACAGGGAAAGTGTTTCGACAAGAAAAAACTAAAAAAAAGCAATGGCAAAAAGTCTGTTGATGACCATAAAATTTTCCGTGAAAAGAACAACTAAGCAAGACGTCAAATCGCACTGGCTCGGACAGATCAGTGCAGAGAGTGGCTCACTAAAAGCAAAGGTGAACAAATAAAATCTCTGTATCGTATAGCAAAGAAAAAAAAACAAGAAATTCGTACGAAAAAACACATAGTTGGCGCCTCATGTATCAAAATCGACAAAAATGCTTTCTGTAAATCGACAAAAATGCTTACTGTAGCTTGATCTCATCTTACTCATCTTATTCAAGAACCATCTGGTTCTTGAATAAGATGAGTATTTGTTTTTCTAGCAGGGAAATCAACAATTGATGCAATTCACATCCTTTGGCAATTGCGAGAGAAGCAACTATAGAAGCAACTGCAACTATCACACATTTTTGTAGACCATGGAAAAGCATTTGATCGAGTTTTCCGTGAAGCAATCAGGTGGAGACTTCGTCGACAACTCATTCCAGAATATCCTGTTCGACTTGTGATGAAAATGTATACGAATATTACGACTCTCGTCAGCACAACGAAACACCAAGGCTCGATTCTCAGTCCACTGTTATTTGATTCTCAGTCCACTGTGATGGAACAAATCAAAAAACCGATACGCACTGGTGACATTTGGAATCTAACAATTCAATCAAGTGTCAGCTGTGTAACCAGTGGTGTCACAAAAGTTGTCCAAAAATAATTGGTCCAATTTTGTTTGTCCTGCTTGCATCAATCCACAACAACAAATACGAGATAGCAATGTTTTTGAAGCCAATAAGGTAGAGAAAATCACATCGTTTCAATATCTAGGGGATGTTTTGGATTGTACTGGAACAGCTGAAGCTGCCGTTCGATCATGCATACGTGCAGCCTGGAATAAATGGCATCTCCTTGCCTCTATATTGATGCGGCCTGACATCCCACTACCACTACGATCAAGACTTTATAAATCTGTGATACGTCCGGTCTTGTTATATGGTGCAGAAACATGGCCAATGACAACCAAACTGGAACAACAACTTCAACGAACCGACATGAAAACGCTCCGATGGATGCAACGAATTAGTCTGAAGGATCACATCAAATCTACCGAAATCCTGCGTCGTGCTGGTTTAGATGATATAAACCACGGTCTGCGGTTGTTTGGACATGTCAAACGAAGTGGAAACAGTGCTATAACTTCTCTTGCAGATGTTGAAGTTCTTGGCACACATCCCAAAGGCCGTCCAAAAAAGTCCTAGTCGCAAACAATCGAGCAAGACATGAAAGCTCTAAATTTAAATGAAATAGATACAACTGATCGTCTAATTTGGCGCAAAAAGTTGATGGCAAAGAAAACAACGTCCTACCTCGGGGAACCGGGTTTCTGGACGATAAACGAAGATTGATTGATATATATATAACTTTTCTAACCAGAATTTTCCAAGTTCATCATGAAAATTTAATGAAACGGTTGTTATCCGAATTCATCATGCAGATAAGGCTTTTTTCGAGTTTTCATAAATCATCTTCAGTGCATTTCAGTTTATATAGTTTTTTTTAAACAAAACAAAGGTCTTTAGCAAAGTTCTTTAACAAAGTTTATTAATTGGTGTCGTATTCTTCATCTTTGTTGTTGGCATTGTTGTTTATTCTGATCGCCTCCTTATTGAATCTGTATTTTCATTAGATTTTATTTCTTCAAATTCATTCATGTCTATTTCTGGTTCTTGATGCTGGTCTTAATAAAGATATCTTTTCTGATGTTGATGATTTTGTCTGTGTTTTTAATATCTACA